CTTTAGCATCTGGATTCTGTAAGATGTAATAAATAAATTATATGTAAATTATTATGGTGCATTGGGATCTGACCACATACTCGTAGTTATAATTAAAATATAGAAATATAGTAAAAAGAAACTCTCGATGTATTCTTAATATGTATGTACTACTTAATTCATAATTCTGGTGCCATGTATCCTCTGTACACGAATTTATTAATACTTGTAGCAGTTGCAGCCTCGCTGTCGCGTCTATGCTAACTTAATCAATTATTGTAAATATATAGATAAGGATACACAATTGTGAGATAAATATTATTGATGAACGAACATGCATAAGTGTTTCCATTCCACTTGCCCAATCATCAAAGTCGTCACCTACTCGTACGTCTTTACAAAATGCATGTTCTCATTTGGACACAATTATCTTCACATCAAATACAATATTAACAAACAACACTCAATTAGCGTTTCATTCATTACTTGAGGAATATTCTTCATACAGAAGCTTTAAGGTAAAATTAAGTTAAATTTATAAATAAGCAGCTATTGAAAGAACAAATACCTATAATATAAATAAACACAAAGAATACGGCACTGTTTTACATAATACATAGGTAATATTATGTTAATACACAGATATTCAAAGTAGATAGGTAAGTCGTTATTTAAATATAGTTTTATAAAAATATACGTACCTACCTAATTCGTTACGATATAATGTTTCGATACGTGGTTTAACTGGCCACAGTAGCCACAGTACATAAAACGGGGATATGCAACGAATAACATTTTATATTCTGGCCGACAATATTCATTAACATCTAACAACAGTGCTATAATTATATCTTACCATGGAACAAAGCCTATGTGTACACGTTTAAAAATGTTTAAACTTACTTTTAGTAATAACCATGCAAGGATTATATTAAATTAGTTGATGCAGCGTCACTGAGTAATGTGGCAGATAAAATTAAGAGAACACATTCTTAAGTTTTTCTTAGTTGCAATGTGTTAAAGTCTACAAGTGTCATATTTACATTAAAACCAACTGATTAGTTTTAGATACATATGCACTTAATTAGGCTTCCTTCGAATTCTATTTAAATTATCAAAATTGCACTTTATCTGTAAATTATTTAAGTTTATAATAAAAACATAGATAGCAATAACCAAAGACTCTTATTAGAAATTCATGGTGTTAAACATTTTAATACATAGTTACAAAGTTTAATATTTAATAAATAACAGTATTTCTTATATAGGAGATTGATAAGTATTTCGATGATATATTTTGTTGTGAAAAGCTGTTCAATACACTATTATAGAGAAGTTTTTGGTACCTAAATATATATATATTTAGGTACCAAAAAATATATTTACATCCCGCTATCGATTGGACGTCCCATGAAGGCAAAAGTGCATTTAATCTGGCGTCCACCTGCTTTTGGCGTCCGCATACCGGACGCCACTTTTTTGGTCTATGCTACTTAGGTCCTTTTGGTCCTGGCTACACGTAGGTGAAAAATCGACAGAGGCCAAAAAATCGGTTCAATGGCTGTTATAGTATTTTGAAAAGTTCCCAAAGAAATCTCAGCGCGGCTAGAGCGCTGCTGTAGCGCGTATATCCACAGCTGTATATTTTTGGGATTTTCTGACTATAATTCCGCCTATTTGGCGTCCTCAAAAAAAATAACAGCGACGTTGCCAGTTCGCTCATTAAATCTGTCTCAATAGATCATAATATTATCTACCGCATTCGAAACAATATTCACCGTCGTAGATTCGGATGTGTTGCGTATTATTTGGAGTCCGATTTTATTCAATTAGATTTATTTACATTTTAATACATGTCAGTGCAACTTACGACAACTTATCTGCAATCCTGTTCTCAATTTGTCAATGAGTACCTATCACTGATATATAACAGATGAGGGTATAAATTAACTACTTAATGGGATCTTAGAAATAAGTACTAAAGTGA